TTATGTTTCTGTTAATTATACCCTTAGCAATGAACAGGTAGACAAGTCTTTCAAAGTCTTCAGGAATGTGGTCTTGACGCAAACAGATAGTTTTGAGTAGGACAAATCATATACTCATCAACTGGCATTAGCAATCACCCAAAAATGCTACAGACTAAATTTGATTGCAGCAAAATTAAACTGTCCACCGCTACGATTTGAGGATTTCAGTATGCGTGCATGCATCAAAAAACTCATGTTCTGTTTCATCTTCTCAGTCGGACTCCTATTCTTTCGATATAAACACCTGCGAAACGTAACTGTGATCTTCTCGGAGAGGTTATGCAAATATACAAAATATTTTATTCAACTTTGTGGATATTAAATCGTTCAAGATATGAATAATTGTAATTCTGCTGATGAAATGACGTGTAAATCTTCCCCAATCCGGCAGAAATTCACCAGTTATTTTCCCATCAATTAAGGGTGTCCCGTAGAGGCCAGAGTGTAGAGGTTTCACTGATTACATTTATATGTGGCATAATTCTCTTCCTCCAATGCGATGAGATTAGTTTTTTCATAATAGACGATAAATATAGAATATGAGTTATGACTTTTAAAGACGCGGTCTTCAATCAAATATGACTTAAGTGAAAATTTTACAACACTGATGTATCCATTGGGCAATACAAAATCAAAACCTTAAGTGCCATTTAAGAACTTCTAGATAACTATATACCTAATGCTTGGACTTTAAAGAAGTTTGTACGGTGTTCCATCCTTGACTGGAAAAAAGAGCAAAAAATTTAAGACTCTTTTTTCTGACCTTTTGAATTCCCCGTGGCGTTTTGTAGTCTCCAGAACAACAAGAAGCCACAATGTAGGCATGATGACTAAAGATTTTAAATTAAACTACCAAATACTCTTGGAATACTTGCCTGACACATTTAAAGTTTTGTTTAAATTAGTCAAAAAAGGAATGTTATTTTATCAAGCCCTAGTTATTCTAGAGGCCATAGTAAGCAATTTTTACTGCATTTTTGTTCATAAAGCTGATAAAATCCAACGGAGTTTTTCCCTTTACGAACAGGCCCATGCCTCGAAATGGACCAATAGAAAAGGGATCATGAAAAACAGACGGGAATTTGGTAAGATTAACGTTGCCTTTCAAATTAAAACAATTTTCTTCAAAGTACTGCAAAACTTACGCAACATTTTTCGAGTGGGCATTTAATGGGAAATATTTTGACTTAAGTTTATGGCGACTAAACGTTTCATCAAAGGAATTCAGTTGTAGGCAAGTGTGCTTTCCCCAACATTTCACAAGTGCACAAATGGCCTGAATACATAAATGATGTCAAACAAATGACCGTATCTCAAAAAAACCGAAACTTGCAATAACAAAAGGTTGAGGCTTTCAAATCATATTCGTTAAAGAATTTTGCTGCTACTCAAATACATTTTAAATCGGTGGGAAAAATACCTAGGCTGCAACCGTAATAATTAACTGTCATAGGGAATAACAGGTTTAGAAGGAACGTATGCAATCAGGTCATAATGGGTCGCATCGAGAGCAATAGACACTCGCCATGTTCAATAAAGTAAACAAGTAAACTATTGCAAATCGAGTGGTGAAAAGTAGAGATAGTCACAAGATATTTAGTGGACTCAATGCTATATTAAGACAATATATTATCGGGCTTGAGACAAGACATGCAAAAACAGTAGTACGA